TATATATATATATATATATATATATATATACATAGAGTTCTAACTTCTGGTGTTACTAACAAAAACTGACTTCTGATTATTATGATTTGTTGGTTCTGTAATGTTTTGTATTACTTCCATTTTTTTTCTTTTGTAACAATCCTGTCATAATTGTATAATTATAATGAGGATTAAATTTTACGATTACCAGTTGAGTGTTGAAAATCATATCCTTTCTACTAATTACTGAATAAGTTGTTTCTTTATTGATAATCTTTTAACGTGAAATTCTTTTAATTACTGAGTAGTTAATGCTTTGTCACAAAATGCTATAACATAATGTTTGGGGCTTTTATAAAATAACACAATTGGCTGATTACATTACTCATTTTATGCAAATATATATTTTTTACTTCAAATTGGCGAGAAAAAAATTTGCTTGATATCATGACGAATGGGAAAGACATGGCCTATAAATATGCACATAATCATGATGTTTGATAAAAAAATCCTTGATGGTTTTTTTGATAAGGAATTTGCATTTTATATGGTGGGAAATACTGAATATTTCATGTAGTGTTTCTCACGGTATGGAATGCGCATTTTGCAGTAAAAAACTGTAGAATTGTTGGGAACACATTTGATTTCAATCTTCTTAAATTTGTACTGTTCTGCTAGGGGGTCTTTATTTTCACTCAAATAAAAATAATGCTAGAGGTATTAATGCGATTGATAATTATATTAGTAAAGGATGATGTTTGTAATAATAGTGAAGGTCTCAAAGAATAAAAAGGAAATTTTGAGTAGAACAATGTATTGTATAGCAAATTTGTGCTGTATCAATTAATATTAATTGATAAGTATTAATTTAGAATATCAACTTGTAATTATGAAACCTTTATCATTTAACAAGAATATGTTCTGTTGTTAAGTATTACTTGTACAATGTTTAATAAATGAGTAGCTATTATGAGTGCATGTAAGTATGTAAGGTTGATTAGCTTTAGAATTATTAAGGAAAGGAATGCTTTACTGAAATGGAACGCAGAAGAAGATAGAATGACTGGCAAATGAGTGAGGAGTGAGTGAGTGAACATAGCAAAAATTTTTATCAATCTATCAAAGATAAATGAAGAATATAACAATACGAGTTTGTGAATCAGTTATTATATTATCAACGCAAGTTATAATTGAATATAATAGCTTTAAGTAAATTAAGTCATGCACACACAATAATCTGATTTACTATTCAATAGGCCTAATTTTATTGAATTCAAATCCAGTGAAGATGTTTGTTATATTTTTGAATTCTACTTTGTATTGAAGTTCTTTGATGCTTTTCATTATTTTACAATGAAGTTGCTTGTTTGTAAATGAATTATGAATTTATTTTTTCATGTTCATTTTGCAGTAAGCATTATGAATGATTGATTATGTTTCGAATTATTTCTATACATAAAAAAATTGTATTATTCAGTTTACTGGCAAATGGGCCCAAGTATTTAGTAACCATTGCTGCTTAAGTTAATATAAAATGTTTGCTTTGTAGTTATTATTATTTTAATATTTTGAAAGCACATAATTTCGACTTACTGAGATGTCTCTAAGCATTTAAATGATTAGTGCTACTGCACATTTAAAATAAATAATATTTGTAGACGTTTATATTTTAATTACCTTTAATATGATTTGTGGGCAATTTTTAAAGGTAGAAAAACAGACATGGTGTTTTATTTTGTCAGTATTCTAGTTATCTATGATATATCATAAAATTGGTATTTGTGCTGTAATAAATGGTTATGATGTTTTGTCTGTCTTTTCAGAATTTCAGTTTCTTAATTTTTTGTAGATGTCAGTAGCTAGAATTATGTTTGTTTGGAATCTATTGAAGGTTGTTGCGAGATTTACTCTATGAATTTTTATGATCACCAAAATAAAATCTTTTTGTTTGTTCTTATAGGAGGGAATCATGTCTCAGATAGAAGGTAATAGTTTCTTCTCGATGTACAAGGAATTGTTGAGAGTATTCAGCGCACTAATTGTTATTGATTGCTTTGTCATTAATTATCATATATTAATAACTGCTATAAATAATTTCATTTGTCATTTAATATTGGTATTTGTTACATTTTTGCTCTTAATTTGATGAATTTCAGATCCTTTTGGAAGCTACTAATTAGTTAAATGAATGAATGAACAACGTCAAATAGTAAAATCAGGCTGGTTACAACATGTGATACATAAAAAAGGTGGCACTTTACATCGCAAAAAAGTAATTTTCATCTTGTATATTTTATATGATAGCTTTCAGTTATTCATTCATTATCATCATATATTACAAAATAATCTTAAATTATTTCAAGAAAGTACTGTATGAAGAAGGAAAATGGGTTGTATTATGTATCCACAATGATCGCATACCACTTCTGGAATGGTATTTCTCAGAGAAATGTGTCTACGACCATAGGTAAGTTGTTGTTGAAATGATTAAAACGAAAAATCCTTATAGATTTTAGTTGCATCAACAATTGTTAAAAATTCTTCCTCATTAACACTCGTGAACACTTTTGGTTTTCATTTTCACATAATAATTATTCCAGACCTTCGAAAGTAATTGATTTGTTGGATTCATCATTCGTTAGAATTGTTATCAGTGATCCATCTAGACGCAGTTTTATGATTGGTTTCGTAGACTGCAAACGTGAACCAATTGAACTTGCTGCTTTGACAGTGTAATATTTTCTTCTTCTTAAATAATGGGAAAAGAACTATGGGAAACTACATCATCATTACGGTTGATATATTTAACATGATGCACTTTAGGTCAGCTTTTATTTTTAGATGTTTGTTGATAAACAACCTTATGTTGCATATTTTCTCATCGCAGGAAATATCAGTATAGTTTTTTGATAGCGTAGTTTTTATACTCCACTGTTTTCAATTTAAAAATAAATTTCTTTAAAATTTTGAATGATCAGATATTCAGGGAAGATTGTGATGATTGGATTCGATCTTCTACATCTGAACTCATGCGAATAAAATGTTTGGTCGGATCTACAAATTTATACATTTCTATACCAGATGCGCCATCAGAAGTACCTGAACTTGCTGAACGATTAGGTGATCAAGATCAAGCAGTCGATGAAGTTCGTCTAATAATAATTAATACGTGCATAATTTATGTAGAACATAGATCCACAAAAAAAAACAGTAGAATCTAACTTTGTACTTCTATTTTCATGTTCTCAACTCTGAAACAGATCTTTGTAAATTTGTACTATTTATTTATATTGTATGATTCAGTTCTCCAAACAGTTTCGTCGCATTCAATCAGCTGCAGTAATGTTTAAGGTTCCAGAAGGAATTGCACCATCCCTTCCAAATTCGACTACTAGAAACCTTGCATATGAACGGATTAAATTCCCAGCAGTGGTATCTTCAAGAGTGTTCTCTCTACCTCACGCATTAAATACAGAAGAAAAAAAAATGAAAAGTTTGAGTCCAGTAACAACTCCACCTCCTCTCCCTCCTCGTAATATTTCTTCATCTCGAACTCACTTTTCTATGAGAATTATGGAGGTAACGTTAAAGTTTTTGTCACTTTAAATTGATATTTCTATAGAACTTCCCATTCATTATTTTATTGTTGAAACTTTGTTGAGCAAACTATCTTCTCAAGAACTGCATTTCTTTTTGCCAGTGTATATTATTCTTTTTCATTTATTGAAATTAATTTTGTGCGTCTATAAGTGTATAGATTTCCAGCGTCTTTCAATATATGATCATCCGAAGAATCGTGCATCCGCACCATCTAATGATTCATTTGTGGCAGAACATTCAGAGGATGCCTCAATGAATTTGAAAAGTTCTGCGTACGAAAATAAAGGATTTTGCATGAAATAATTTTTTTTTATTCTCTTGAAGATTTGTCAAGGCTTTAATTTTCTGTTAACAACAACGATTCTCTTTTTTTTGCAGCAAAAATAATCTTTGACGTATGCTTTCGAGTATTTTAACCACAGACATTACTTTCATAAAATAAATCTTTCTTGATTACTGAAGTATAGGTTTTACTGCTTTCAATATTTTAATTTTTGCCTATTACTTGAGTAGTTTTTCATTAGGAATAGTTGAGTTACTTAAGGCTCTTTTTTTATTTTTCAAAAAATTGATTTACTTTCGAAAAACAATGTCTTTTACTCAAATCTTCATCTTCTTTAAGTAACATAAATCGCGAATAATTCCAGTGTTTTGGAGTCACCGATATCATTGAACATGGAAATAGAAGTCCCTGTTGATGTCTGTCGTGTACCTGTGAAACGCGGATATTCCGTTCCCACTGGAACTTTAAATGCTGATGTTACACAGTCCTATCGAACCACTACTGATGATTCATCATCTTCCAATTATGATGCACCTTGTGGATTATTAAATCAAGTTACATCATTTCGAAAAAATCATTCAGTTAGTCAGCGAAATAACGATGAACAGCACGAGAATAATTCACAATTCTTTGGTTGTTTTGATGCTCCAAATAATTTGAAACACATAACAGTCGATTTCATCATATTCATGCATCATATTGCATTTGTCGACTTCGATGGAAAAGTTTGGTGTGAACATTCTTTTTTTTCATTTTTAGATCCAAAAGCATTTAGTTGAAATGGATTGTATCTGTATTATATAAAAGATCAGTAGTAGTAGCGGTGTAAATTAAATATTTCCTAGTATTTAATTACTTGCAGTAAATGTATAATTTTGAAGTCGAAATTACTTAAATACTGTGGTTAAGGGTAGCGGGTTGGACTATGGTGGCTCATAAAAGTTTTACGGACCAGTTGTTCGTTGGCGATCAACTCGTACAAGTTGGTGATGTTGTTATCCAGAGCACACAGCAGTTTTCGCACATTTTCAACCCTCTGAGAAAATCGGAATCTATGGTACTTTTGTCTTACAGAAATATTTCCTACAGCAGACTTATATATCTTTGAAAAAATATGAAATTAAACTATTTTATTTTTCATCTCTGGTTTCAACTTCTACAAAATGAGGGAGATGTCGGGTATGCGTTCTTAAATTTTTTATTTTAAAATTGCATAATGCTTTATCTCAGGTAAATGTGATCGTTCAACGGGTACCCCATGGGTCAATCTACACATTGCAGAAAATGGAAGAGAATTTTGATGCAGGGTTCATTCTAGACAAATATAAGAGTAAAGTGAGTTTTCAGATCTAAATTTATTCCAAGTTATAAGTTTTTGTAAAACCATCATATACTTATCCATCAATATCATACGGAGGAGGTTAATATTATTTTCTACATTATTGATTCTGGTTCTCGATTGTATTCCGGCATTCTACTTGTATTCGTTCCGCGCTCAGTTCTGTTATACTGCTCTCGCTGCTTCGTCCTCGTCGAATCCATAGTGTTGATCGAATGAAATGCTTCCGAGCGTTTTCTTGAGTATTATCGATGGGATAGATGTCTTAACGTGATCACACAATTTGATGTCCTTCGCATAGCATTTATGGAAGTTCGTTACAATCCCTTCTCAAGTTATCACATACGAAATTATTTTCATTTCGCATTTGATTTCTGCCATGAGTTTATTACCCAGTAGATCATACTTTTGCTTTTTCTCGGTCTCGACTGTTGTCATCCTGTCTTGATTAGTGATGTCAACCTTTATCCGGATTACTTCATGTCGCTTCTTGTCGTGGGTCATGATATTCGGTTAATCCGCACTTATATTTGTAGCTGTGCTTATTCGCGTATCGACTTTGATCTCTACGTTGTCATTCGCGACAACTTCCTGAACAGAATGGCTTCACATGCGCGGGAATGCCTTCAGACTATACTTTTTGCATAGTTCCAAATAAATGCATCTCAGGACCTCATTGTGTCTTTTAGTATAGTCATGATATAATATTTTCTCGCACTGTGTTGCTAGATAGTCCACCGTCTTCAAACGTTTTCTACACTTTGGGCACATACTTTTTTCAGCTCCAAACATATTTCTGTCTTGGAGGTGACAGTATCGCGCTTCATCCTGTGTGGTAATATTCCTGTATCGTAGCCACATTGAGATAGCTCATTTCTGCGCATCTTGTATAGTTTTGCATGGCGAGTTTTCCTTTCTATCTTGCTGTACAGGAATGCTTTCTGACTTGCTAATACGTTTTCGACGGTTGGATTTTCTAAGAGATTGTATTTAATCTAAAGGTAGGACACAATAACTGCTAAATACGTATTAAGAGTCTTCTCCTGCTTCAAAATTGCCGCCCTCCTGGTAGATATGGGCGCACTTTCTACAAATACGATATGAAGTCGCAGAAGCATAAGCTCACTCCTTTGTTCAACTCAATGAACCCTCGTTGTAGCTTGTCCCTTGGCAGGTACAGTCTTTCTAAACATGGTGGTTAATTAAGGACTCCATATTTGCTTGGTAACTGCATGATATCATGGTCAGTTGCTTGAAAATCTTCTGATCCCATTTTAAGCACTTTAATAGTTTATTGAACTTATGGCGTGCTCGTTCACCGCCTTGGTAAAGTCGCTTAATGCAATTTTGGCCAGTCTCATGTTTAATTAAAATCTCTGCTTGCTTTTTATCGCATCTTTCTCGGGTCGAGGCGTCAGTTCTGTTTTTCATTATTTCAAGGTATTGATACCTTCGAAGAGCACCTTCCTATCAGCATATACCTCATTATTAGTGGCTGACTTTTCTTGATTCACCTCTAACCCTACCATATTAAGAAACCTATGAACTTCCTCGACCGTTGATTTCATGACATACTCATCGGTCGCGAAGACCTTGAGATCACTCACAAACATTGATTATCTACATTCCGTGATCGGTGGGAACGCCACTATTGAGTACCTCATATTAAGAGGATGGCTTAATGAATCCATGCACAGGACGAATAGAAGCGGAGAAAGACTGTCACCTTGGAGAATTCCCGTCTGTATTTTCTTATCCATTACGGTTTGAACCCTCATAATGTGGTAGAGTTCAAAGGTTTCTTGTTTTTAATTACAGCTGATCATCTAGAGATAATGCTTCTTAGAAACTCTCAAATGTTGAGCCTTTCAATGCACTGATTAACTGAATTTAACGCTTTTATGATGCCATGCCGCGTAGTGTTTATATGGTTGGATTCCTGTAGAATCATGTTCTGAACAGCTTAGATTCGGCGTTTTGGATTTTGAATGAACATCAGTATTCATGACTTCTAATTCTACTTTCGTAAGCTTTCACACTTTCTGTTAGTATGCCATTAAAGCTTCATGACAGTCATGCTAGATAGCAAGTACGAGATTCATTCCTCTTATTTCTTAAGCCTCTCTGAGGTGTTTATATTACAGCCAAATACCGCTCTACGAAGGCTTTGTCAAAGTTGTTTAAGCTTATCTTATTTCCTAACTTCCATCTCGATGGTTTCTTCTTCCGCCTTATCTCTTCAAAGCGTAGTTGCGCTACTTGGAGGTGCCTTGCAATATTAGTCAATGACTTGTGGGGAGGGAGAGGGATTTTTTGTGGCATTCATGTTTTGAATTACACTCATTTCAGTTGCTTGGTGTACTTGAAGGCTCATCAGCATGGGAAGCTGGTGTGCGTTCGTCAGTCTCAGCAGTGACCCAAAATGGCACAACTTCTGCTTGTATAACACACATAAATAATAGCACTTTAAATTTATTTTCACGAAATAATGATGTTTCAAAAATCATTGATGAATTACCTCTGCTCAGCGCATTTACTATCATAGTGCAACCTTATGATTTCATAAAATTTTTGAAGAAAAACTTGAAAAAATTGAAGAATGCTAATGACTTTGTGTACTAGATGTTTCATTGCTATCTTAAGAATTTATGGCAATTTTAGTTTGATATGCTTTTTCATTACTTTTTAAAATCGTTTTTGTCTTATTTCTTAATTGTAAATAATGTTTAAGAGTTTATTACACATTTATAAATATCGGTGACATAACTGACGTTTTTAATTGTCTAGTTTCAGTTTTCAAATGTTGCTTCAATATTCTTAAAAAAATATATTTTCTGTAGGACGTGAAATATGCTCTTCACTTGTCTATACATCAATTACCTCACATTAGGTAGTAAGTGAATGCTTAAAATTGCTTCGATCGTTATAAGTTCCGCATTGAATAGTTGACAGAATATGTGTACAGATAGCACTCGGAACTTGATGGTTTGGCTTATGTAGAAAGACCAATACTGTTTTTTCAGGATATTCTTGTTGTCCAAGAGCACATACTCGAAAAATTGTTTCAGATGACATACGAATTGCCATCTGTACAAAACAAAGCTAGAAATGGTTACGGGAGGGTTAACGGTATGTATTAGTTCTAGTACAAGAGACTGCATAGTTTCATAAGTTTCATAATGGGATGTGCAGAGCAATCTTGTGTTCCGTAATGAGTCCTCTATTTGTCGTGAAGTATTATAATTTATAATATTTGCGTAGATTGCGTGAAGAAAGTCCGAATTAGGTGGGTTAAGTTTGTCCTCTGAATTATTTACTTTAATAGAGTGATTATCGATTTGGACAAATAGCAATAAAAAAGTGATAAAATCATTATGAATTTAGGCAAATATTTTACGTTTATGATTTCTTGAACTTTTCAAGCAATTTCTTGTAAAACGTAAGTTGTACTCTATTTACTTATTCAAAAAGTATGTAGTTTTCTGGTGATTGTTTTATAATCTGTTTTGTAAACTAACTGACTTTTAGAGTAGAGTTAATGTGGATGTATGATATAATATTTTTTAAAGAGTTATTGTCTTAAGGAAATTTTATTTTGGTTAATTTATACCTTTTTCTAATCATTAATACACTATGTATGATATAGGTGGGAAAAACTTCATGGCGCGGTCCTTGCCATTTACTCCTCCATCATCTCCAAGTTGCAATGGTATTCCATCAGCACTTTCATTTCATGCTGTTCATCAAAAAATTACACCCACTGCTAATTGCTTGGCTGATTCGCTTGGCGTATCACCTCTTTACCAACAACAAAAGTAAGGATTATTATTGAAGTTCTGAGCATTCTAAGTACTTTTAACGTCAAATTAGTCTCTCATCTGATTTCCTTCTTATTAATGTGTTTATGGTTTCTTGCGGTACTTAACGGCAGCTTTACAGATTTATTTGCCATATAAGTACTTGATGACAAGAAATTTAACTGACATTTGGTGATACGCATTAAAGATTTGAACATTTGCGAAGAATCAGTAAAGATAATGAAAATTTACAGATCTGTCAACTGTCATTCCTTATAAGTTCAAAAGGTTCAAAAGCCTTTGTATTTAAATGTTAATTTTTTTACATAGTGCTACTATTCAATGCAGGCAAAAATTATCTACTTGAGGATATTCAATTTATGCTATAGCTACTTCTAAATTTAGTTCGGCTCGTTGGCAAAGTGCTGCCCAGATTTATCAAAGTAGCCGTACACACAGTCGTGCTCATAGTCCAGCACCAGATGGATTTCATGAAGCATTCATGTATCCATCAAGTTTGACTCCGGCTCTGATATCAGAACATCTTTCAGCTGTTTACAACACTTTCGGGTATAAATTATGAACTGATTTTTTCAGGCCAGTTCTTATTGTTATATTGATCTTTGCGCAGAATACATATTTACTTTTGTATATTTTTTCAGTTTTTAAATCGTAAATACAAGTTCATTTTTTTTCCTCTATCATAGTAAGAAAATAGTCTGCGTAAAAATTGCAAATAATTGGTCTCATTTTGCAGAACGCCACTTTCTCTAGTAGAAATAGGTCGTGCCAATCGAAAACGTCATGCTGAAACGAATGGTGCTCTTAATGAACACAGTTTTGGAGGTCCTTTGGAGTTAGAAGCGATAGCTGCCGTACATGAACTTTCGAATGATGTACGTTCAATCGCTGTATCCGAAATCTTGCCACGAACTGCTGATTTAATTTTCGTGAACATAAAAACTGTTGAAGGTAATTCCTCCTTTTAAGGCTTCGTTCGTTGCTTAAAAAAGTCGTTTGTTTGATGAATACTTTTTGACTTTAAATTTTAGATGCATTTATTTATATATTTTATTATTTTCCATGCGTGTGTATTTGTTTGTATTTACTTCGATCTTATTGCTTGAAGAGATCGTGGTTTTGCTATACTAATATATCTGCATTTTCTGTACATTCTTTAATTATTAAAGGGCATCCTTATACTCTGGAATTAACTATGAAAGGATGGAGAATCGCATCTTTACAAAGTGATAGTATGAATGGTGATTACAAACGGGTATGGTTTAGTGAACTGAGTGCCATTTGCTTTCTTCAAGTTATTCTGAAATGCAAAACAAGAAATTTCGGTTAATTTGCGTGAATGATGAAGTTTAGACTCATAGGTTATTGATATTTGTTTTAAAATGCTGTTATTACATTTTCTATTTTTGATGCAGGTGGATTTGCACACAAAGTATTATGAAAATGCTTGTCAACTTCTTGAAGAAATTTCTCCAGCTCACTCAGAATACTTCACCAAGTGTTTGACTGAGAAGCTTGCTCAGCTTCACATTTGGAGAAAAGCTCAGGTTTGTTGATCCAAAAATTCCATTTTTGAACTAGTGGTTTGCACTATATCTTTTCTTTGTGGAGTAAAACAGAACAAAATTAATTAACTAGTCCTTTTTGACAGCGATCAATTCTCTCCAGTAGATAATTAAACTAGTAGTTAACTTGCATACAAATTTGATTTTCTGAGGATTAAGTTTAATTTATTCAGGAAGAAGCGGAATCAGAAGAAAAATTATCGGATCAGGAAGCTGATTCTCAAGCAGAGGATACAAAGGAACGTGACCAAGAAAATGATGATTTATCAGATGAAGGCCTTGTTTTCAATGTACACAAAAGTAGTAATAGGTGAAATTCTCAGTATAATATCTGTATAAAGTGTACTAGAACTGTGTACACTAGATTTTGAGTATGACTCGCAGTGTTTTACGCTACTAATTATGCCACATAAAATAAGATTTCAGTAGCTTCTCAAAGACGGTCTTATTTTACCTCATGGGTAAAAATAAGGGAGCACAGTTTTTGAAAATCAGTTGATCTGAAGCATACGTTTTTTGTATTCTTCTTCCTATACACTCCG